ATGTAATTGAGTTTGATCTTGGCATTTAACAAATGTTGAAAAGATTAACATTAAGTGGAAATATATGAAGTTACTCTGGAACTTTTTATTAAACAGTTGACCTTTATAACTGCAATGCATAGTGAAAATGTTCACTATAAAAGATTAATTTGTTTAACAATGTTTACTTTAGGATGTAAAATCAGAAAGCTTTTTTGGAGGGGAAAATAAGAAGAAAGGATAGAAACTGCACCGGAGCACCATTAAGTTATTGAAGCATTCATCTTGAGGTGGCGTCTCGAGCAGCGCTGCCATTGAGAAAGTTTCTATCTGGGACACTGGCCATAGTCTTATTGGAAAGCCAATTCAGAAATGGGGCAGCGGGGTCGGTCAGGACAGGAGAATTTTGGTGCCCAATTTTCTTAAGTTTTCAAACATAGACTAGCATACCATTTCTGATAGATAAATGACATCGTCGAACACTGAAAAAATGTAAACCAAAAATATTAAGATTTATTTGTTCGACCCACAGTGGGGAAATGTCAGCGTTATTTCACCTGTATGTGAATTGTTTTTAAAATGCACATACTTGTATGTGAGGCGACCTTGAGTGTCAAGAAAGGAACCCAATAAATAAAAGTATTATTATTATTATTATTATTATCATCAAGTTACAAGGTTATTAAGGTGGTTTTAATGAGGGCAATATTTATTCATAGTAAATGAAAGAGTGTAGTGTTCATATATTTTGTTTAATCTTCAATACATGCACCATAGATGCATCCAACGTTATAGCGAAGGTAGTCCTGACCAACTAACCATCAACAACTTCATATGAGTCAAATACAGAAGACACATACCCCCAGGGAGTAAAATCCTGCGCCTTCCCATACGTCCTTTCTGGAAACAACAGGTTTTGAAATAATATTCTCCTCTCCCCTCGATTCTGATGCTAATGATCGAATCAGAAATTACAAGACTTAACGTCATATCTTGAGCGAGCCTGGCCTTGAGTCCAAACCAATCCATAGGGTTAGGTTTAGGGTTAGGAAGATTAGTATGGAGACCAGGCAAATTAAATCCCACCACGATGTATTTATATAAATGGAACTGCAGTATATATAAATTCAGATTCATATATTTGCCATTTTCAGTATAACCACATTAGAATACATCCACAAAAGTCCCCAGTGTGCACAAGAAAGTACATAAATAGGTTAAAAGCACAAAAATTAAACAAACAAAACAGGAAACAATTGACACTGTGAAATGTATCCACTAAAATAGTTTCAATACAAAGGCAAGATCATTGAAAGTGCTGTCTTTACTCTGATAACAGTTTGTGGAAAGAAGCATATCGAGATGTCAGCAAACGATAAATGCAAAACGGTTTTATTTTTTTTGTGAGTGCAACAAAACCTTCTACAGCCTTCTAAAATGAATTCCACCTAAACTGACATGTGATATAAAAATGAGTTGCAAAAATACTTCTTGCCTAAAAACATAATAATACATGTTTTCATCAGGAATGCTATCTTCTACCAGCAGTCACACAGTCCGCAGATCATGTCAAACCCTCCAGAGTTAAAAATTCCTTTTTCTATGTCACTTTATCTTTTTTACGTAGTTTTAGTTTCTTCATTCGATTTTGTTCTTGCTCCAAAGTCACAAAACAAACCTTCCCGCTGCGCCTCTCCCTCACACCAAACTTGGGTGCACTCCGACCCGCCGGACTCTGTCGTGGTCAGAGCAGAGGCCATGTTTTTCCCCAGTGAGACGGGAACATTTCCTCTCCCAATCTCCGGCTCACATCCTCCTCTCTCTGGCCCACAACGTGCCCTCAGAGCCCCCCAGAATCTGTCTGTCTGCCCCTGTGCTGCACTCACTAATGCACCTAACCTTTTCATTGTAAGCGAGCAGCACACAGGCGGCGCGCAGTTATTAACCTCTGCAGCACTGCCTCTACCCAGGGCCTAATTGCAGCCGATCCCATGTTACGTCTCCATCCAATAAAGATTATGCGTGCCGCGTAAAAAGGACAAATTGTTCACTAGATTCAATCAGATTACTCCTGTGCTCCCAGCTGCATATGAATGTAATGTGTTAGCAGCCGCGCTGGCCTCGGCGAGACACGGCTGTGATATTCCCCTATGATGTTACAGTCTTGATTGGTTGGGAAAAGGGAAGTGATAAAGTTGGCTTGAAAAAACCTACCAATTCCAATTTCTTCTTGCTTTAAATATGACTTTTAAAATATGTCTTTCGAAATGATGGGTATCTTTTATGTTGTGTTCCCATCACTACCGACACAGAACCAGAGGTGGCAAGTGACCCGGATAAATTTCTACTTCTTTCGTTGAAAAATGATAGTTACTGCAGATGGAAATGTTTCCGAAAAACAGGTACAGTATATAATGTTTTTAGTTACCCAAATAGCTCAATAGATAACTCGAACAAACAAGATTACAGCTCATTTAAGATAGTATCCTCGTTTCAAATTATTGCTCCTTACAATTGCTATGGAGTTTCCTTGCGGCTGTACGCCAATCATTTTGATTGGCGGCTGAAAAGTGCCAAACTGTCGTTGTGTCCTTAGGCAAGACACTTCACCTCCATTGCCTAGAATGAGTCCGGTGTGTGTGAATGGTTGGTCTTGGTCAGAGGGGACGATAGCACATACTGGTTGCCTCGCTTCTGTCAGTGTGCCCTAGGGCAGCTGTGGCTACAGTAGTAGTTTACCACCACCGTGTATGGAGTGAGAGAATGACACATGTAAAGCGTCTTTGAGTGTCCAAAAAAGTGCTATATAAAACCAATGCATTATTATTATTAAATATCTTTTGTCATTTTCGCTTCTTCAATCCTCGTCCTTTTTCTTTCGCTCTACACACATTATCGAGATGAATTGACAGTTGTTGCACAAAGTGTTTGCAGTAGTTTATGATAAAAGAATTGTAGCACCCAACAGCTATGGACAATTCTAAACCACACCTGTCCTACGGAAAAAATGAATGGACGGTTCCCAGACTACATCCACTTGTGATATTGAGTCTAATGTTAGCCCTGTCTATTCCATACCACATTTTTATATAGAATCACTGCAGCCATACAAACGGTTTTAATGTTTTAGTTCCAGGGCTGTTTCTTCTGTTACTTTTTCAACTAACTCCTTAATATAATGTTTTGATTTGCCATTTCAGAAACAATGCGTAAGAAAAGAGGGGTTGGAAGTAAAAAAAAAAAAAGATTAAGTACAGGACATTTATTTAAATGTCAATGTTTTTGTGAAACATGAGCCCAGAAAATGAATGGCCTTTGTTCTTGCGTTGCAGTTGGATGGTTTTCGCTCACAATAGAAGAAACACATTCTTCATTACGTGTTCATCATAATTTGATTTGGCTTTAGCTTTTACTCCATTTAAATAAATGCCCCAGCTACTATATTTCTGGCAAACAGTAGACAAAGGCTGTGGTATTTTACTGGTTTGCTGCACAGAAAAGTTGTAATTAAAAAAGTTGGGAGAGATGTGTTTCTAAATAAGGTAAAGCTAGTGGTTTGTGGTGGGGTATTTTATAATTTATAAGCTTTTTGAAATGTAAGGTTTGAAAATGATTAAATTTTAGAATCTGACAAATACAAATGCTAAATGGCTGACATGCCCCTTGGTTTTATCCATATTTTGATTAATATGACAATATAAGATAAGATTAACTTTATGATCTTTCAATGGAGAAATGTCCACAATATTAATCACTGTTTGAAGCAAATAATCTCTAATCAAACCATGCAATAATTATATCTCCATTTTGAGTTCAAACAAAAGATGCACAAAAATACAATTTGAGGTTATGTTAGTTCTTCCATTTTCCATCTTCTGTTTTAATTTTTTGTTTCTCATGCGATTGTATTGATTTCCCAGCCACCAGCATCCAAGAAGTCTATAATCCACCATGTCATATATAAGTAATTCCATATTAGCTACTAAAATATATTTAAAATTCACAGATCTTCTTTTCAAACTACTGTATTCCATCTGCTAATCACCAAGCATAAATAATTCACAAAAAACAATAACAATCAAATATATACATTTTTGGGTAAATGAAATTGCTGTATAATTAGTGAGTGAATAAATAAGTCATATTATGTTTACATTGCACATTTCACAGACCAAGGTCACAGAAAGTGCTTTTATAATTTACTTTCATTTTAACACTCTAGCAAAGCCTATCGCAGCTTATATTTTCTAACTTTAAAATTAATTAAAGTGCAGTAACATTGAAGGAAATACCATGAAGTCGCAAAGTTCTTAATGATTCCTGGTTGAGTCTAAAAAGAGTATCAGACCTTGACCAGGAAATTAAACTTTACAAAAGAAAGAGGAGAAAAAGTCCAGTCCAATTTTGCTAAGGCCGCTAATGCCAAACTGGTGGTCCTCATAAAAGACCTTGCATGAAGGACAGGGCAGAGATGGAGGAAATTCAAAAGACTTTACAAAATACCAATGCTTCATGTTTTAATTAAAAAACTTTTTTCTTAACCCCTCGTATAAAAATAACTGACAGAACTGCTATATTTCTGTGTGTGAAATTGCAGATTCTATTAAAATATTGAACGGTAAAGAACTACATATTAAGGGAGGGGGGAAGTTATATGTTTAATAAGTCATTAGCTATGTGTGTTCAAGTATTCACAGTGATAATACCACCAAAAATAGAAGTCGAGGCTCTGGGCTAAAAGTGATAAAGTATAGTGTCATCTCACTTAATGTATACATGCATTCAGTGTCCCAAGTAAAGTTATGAAGAAAATGTCTCCACACACACCTACACGCACACACACATACGGTGACACACTCGGTTCGGTATCCTGTGGACTGACCCTCTCAATGTCCATGCTCCCGATTACTGCGTGAAATGACAGTGGGAGGTTTGCAGTTATCCGAGCTTCCAATCAGGACCACAGCACGCGGCGCAGAGAGAGCCCCCAGGTCAAAGGAAGGAAGAGCAGACAGCTGAAGATGAAGCAGCAATATGGTCTGTACCCCCAGAGCGTAACGAGGAGCGAATACTGTTGTTTTGAGGTGTGGGCCAAAGTTCAGTTTGTGCTCGGATTAAAGTGGAATGCAGCAGTAGCAGTAACAAGCAAGAAAGAGAAACAAAATATATATATATACTGCAACATTTGGCCTATGAGTGCTGGGTTCAGAGTGAGCTTTTGTTAAGACATCACATTGTTGTACCGTACAGTGACCGGGCGAAGAGAATATTAACATATACCCACTGGCTTTTTGTGCAGCCGTGAAAAGATGGGGGCCACTATGGATTTACACATTTACATAAATACAAATTAACACCATACTGGAATACACATTGGGCAGATACAGTGAGTTGTTTGACCCAAAAATACAGATTTCCTAAATTAATTACAATGACAATGTAAAAGGTATACACCCATTAACCAATTATTTAAAATAGCTTTAAAAGAGTGATAGGACAGTTATTATTATTATTTTTGTGTTGTTTAATGTGTACAATTTTTGTACATGTGACCTGAGATCTAATGTACATAATGGCCGAAGAAATAAACTACAAACTACAAAAAAATTAATATTTTGACAAAGGTTTTGGGCTGAGAGAGGCAGCCCAAAACCTTTGTCGAAATATGTTCATCTATGTGTGAAGTGATGACACTTTGTTTGGTGGACTTGTGTTGTATATGTTTTGAAAGAAAATTTAAGATTGCATGATTGATAAAGCTTCAAACAGTAACTCACAGGTTTCTTTCTTGCAAATACGCAAAATAAAAGAGGGCATATTGTGGTCGGATTTTTCCCACAATATTCTAGTGTTGCAAGACTGTTTGCTGTGAGAACTATTTATAAAAAAAAAGTTAGCTAGACCTTATTGATCCATTTACCACCTACCTTATCCAAAATAGCATGTGTATCCGTGTTGTTTCCACCAGCAGGACACAGGATCCATGCATATAAATACTGGTTTGCTGTGTTCTTGGTTGTTTTAACTGCAAATACTTAACAAGGATTTAAGTACTTGCACACCAAGGGACTTCAAACTTTTAATAGCATTCATATCAACCAGGAGGATCGGACCAAGAATCAAGAATGCACTCGTCTGCAGTGGCCATTTTAGATCAAGCACTGTATAGTATGTGTGGTTCGATAATAAACCCAGACCTGTGTTTCCAAAATGCTTGCGCAGCCGTTTTTGTTTACAACCACTTTATTTATTTGATATGGACACAACAGCTATTTTGAATAGACCAGATGCACTGCCTTTAGTGTTACAGCAAGATAAGGCTAATGAACGGGGCTATTAGATGAGCTGAAATCAAACATCTATGCTTTTATAAGTTTCTTGTTTTGACAACACTCCACACTCAAGCTTTTAAAGAGTCACCGTATTTTGATGTATAAAGGATGTAAAATCACCTCTTGCTTTCCATTTTCAAGACTAATGGACATCCCGACAGCAGGGTTATCTGAATAGGTGGTATTTCACAGATATATCTTCTTCACCACAACACAACGTTTATAGGATGTTTAACGACCCGTTCCCACCGCCACCTCCTCGCTGCGCAGTTGCTATTGTATTGGAAGTTTGTTTATGAAAAATCAGACGCATGACTGATAAATGTCACACATGTCTGTCCTGGTCTAGTCCTGGTTTATCTCTTGTTTTGGTTGTTTTTGAGTGTCTTCCTTCTATTGCTCTGTGCAGCTTGTTTGCTGCTCTCTGGATGGTCGCTGCATTGTGTTATCCCTGGGAATTCATAAAACTAGTATAAAAATGTTTTATTTCTATTTTCAACAATAAAAAAAATTATTCAACAATTAAATGTTTTAGCAATTGTTTTAACAACCACTGTCATATTCCACTCATTCAAATGCTACAAATAAATAGCTCTGGTGCTCGCAAAGGTGTTGGTGTTGGTGCGTGGAGTTCTCAGATGTTTGATCAAGTTGCTGATATTATTCGTGTATGTTTTGAACCCACCACAATTGCCTTACACAACGTACAGTCCTCTTTACTCTCTTCACACAAGAAACAACTCAAAAAACCCAGTGGGAAAAAGAGAAACCATAGGGACTGGACAGCACTCTCGCCTCTCAGCAAGAAGGTCCTGGGTTCGAATCCCGGTTGAACCAGTGCAGTTTGCATGTTCCCCCCGTGTCTGCATAGGTTTCCTCCAGGTACCCCGGTTTCCCCTACCACTAAAAACCTGTACAATAGGTCTGGCATACGCCTCTTGTACTGTCGACCCCGCTCCCATCTCTGCGTGGAGTGAGAGACAAATGCCCAAAAATAACAATTGTAAACGGCTTTGAGACTCTGATCTGTAGTGAAAAGGCGGTATATAAATAAAGATTACTTACTTACTACTTACTTACAGGCGGGCAGGCAGTAGATCCAGGACTCTGGAAGCGAAGACCGAGGCCAAGAGATGCAGGACTGAGGCGGGGATGGGGGTGCAGTCTATGCAAGGCCGGATATAGGGGTCCCATCATCATGCCATTAAACAGACAATGGGACAGCAGGTGAAAAGCATTAAGACAAAAAAGTGACTCCAACACATATTATTTTATTGGACACTGGAATGTTTACAAGAACCACTTAGTGATATGATGGGACATGATCAAACCACACATTTTTAACCAGACGTATTTATGATACATTGAAAAAGTTACGCAACATCGTAGCCAGGTCTCAGCTGAGTTTGTGCAGAAGAGAAAGTCGACCCGAGACTTTAAGCCACTTCAGGAGGTGCTTATGGAGGCACTTTGCAGCTTCAAAGGTTGACTATCTCAAGGGCAACTAGACCAGAAGACAATTTTAGTTTACACACGCAGAAAACTCAAAAAAAAAATACATAGAAGCGCCCTCAACTGCTGCAACATAACTTTAAAAGAGCTGTACTTGCCAGAAACATCCAGACTGTTATTGTTTCCTTGCAGTACATTCATTCATTTCAATCTTTTTTGCTTTGCTTTTTTGCAGTGAGAAGATATTGGGGCATCAAACCAAGGACATTACAAGTGTGAAACGAAATGAAGTAGCAAAGACGAGCAGAGAGGAGCCATGTGGAAACCCCGGTGGGTGTGAGAGGAAGGCAGCCGATTGGAGCGCGGAGGTGAGAAGTGGAACAGAGAAGCAGAGGTAACACAAACAAGATGGAGGAGTGGAGTTGAAAAGTGTAAAGTGAAATGAGGGGAGAAGTTTCATTTTGGAGGGGCACAGATTAGACAAAGAGTTGGTGAGATACAAGAAACACGAACTTTCCTCTGTTTTCTTTTGGAAAGGACTGAGACTGGACAGGACTGAGACTGGACAGGTCGGCTGTTTTTGGTGATGAGTTTCATTTGTTTTGTGAAAGTGCTGAAATTGCACCACACACTGTCACTTTTATCTATTACTATTCTGCTAATTTTTTATAAACCCTTTTAACCTTTTAGAGCCATTGCACACCTTTTTCATTGAAAGAAATCAAGTGGCTCACCACCAGCTAAACATATTGCAAAAATGAAACTTTAATTAACAGTGCACGCCATTATCATCAAAGTGTATTGAATAACCAAAACAAAAAAATAGGTGTTCAATGCTCCCATACATCTTATAAAATCAAAAAAGAAAAAATGACATTGCTTTCTCCAAAGAGTGAACATTTAAGCAGTGTTTTTCAACCACACTGCCATGGCCAGTTAGTGCGCTTTGAGATTTTTCTGGTGTGCCCTTGGGAACTATCCAATATATCTAAACGGTTAAAAACATTCAAAGAAAATATTTTGAAAAATGTTTTTTCCCTCCGTGCATGTTTGGGTCTCTACCAAATGGTTGAGATGCAGTTTGATGGTAAAAGTGCCTAAAACCAAGTGATAGATATGCCCCAATGAGGTAGATTTCAGTTCCAAGCTTCAAGTAGATACAGTGACTCAAAAACAACCAAAAATATAAGGACAATCTGTTCAACTCCATCCACCCATCCATTTTCTTCCAGCAGGAACTCCCAGACTTCCCTAAGCCACATACATTTCCTGCAGCTCACTCGAAGGGATCCTTAGGCAGTCCCAGGCCAGCTGAAGATGCATTAAGCCACTTTTTTATGTGGAGAAAAAAAAGCTTACACTTTCCATCATAGTGGTCTCTAGGATGCAATAGAATCTACTGTTTGGGAAGTTTTCTCTGCTGACAAACCCTAGAAAACAAGAAACTAGAAAACAGTAGCTCCTGGAGCATTGCTGACCACTCATTGGGTCACTACACCATCAAATGTGCAAAAAATATAAACCTATTTTTTCACATAAAAAGTTGCAAAAAGTCCCATTAACTGAAGAGTCTCTTTGAGAGCATAACATTTTGCATTGGAGAGGGGATTTCCTCTCTGCAATGCCTAGAACGGCAATAAACAAAATGATAAATACTCCCAAACTAATTAGTCTACATTGATGTGGCTATATATTTTACAAGACAGTGTGTTAGCGATAAGCAGATGGAGGGACTCGAGTGTGTGATAAGTGGATTAGTAAAAATTGTTTTAGTCGTTAATCACATTTGTACAGAAATTACAACGTGACGATGGACATGCCATTATTTATATCCAAGCCGTTTGTCGGAGGCCTGGAAGAAGAGCGCAGAGCATTAGCACGTCTTGTCTTTTGTTTCTCCAAAGATCACTGCATAATTCAGTGGTGTCAAACCGAAGCTGTAAATCCACGACGAGCGCTTGATAAGGAAAGGTTTGCGCTGACCCCTGGATGCGGACTTGACTTTGTGTGGTGTGCGAGAGGGCAGAGGGCTGAGGTCTTCAAGATGGAGGCTCTGATGGATGTGGAAGCAAAGCAAGGTCACGCCCTGTACTCTAATAGTATTCTATCATATGGTTTTTCTTTATTGAGAAGAAAAACCATAATCAAGCAGAGTATTTCAGCGATTAGACAAAATAACCACTTTAAAAATGACTATCTATTATTTTTGTAGTGGGTATTCACTCAAACATTGAGCCTTGACGACAGTTCAGTTCAGTTCAATTCATTTCAATTTATTTTAATAGCCCGAAATTCTAACAGCTGTTGTCACTGAAAACCTCGGCGACACGGTGAACAGTGTAGAGCTTGTGTTTCACAGCAAGAAGGTGTTTGATTCCACCTCCAGGCCTTTCTACGTGGAGTTTGCATGTTCTCCCTGTTTCTGCTAGGTTTCCTCCAGGTGCTCCGGTTTCCTCTGGGGGTTCCGGTTTTCCCTACCTCAAAAAACATGTACAATTGGTATGAATATAATGAGTGAGTGAATGGATGGTGTTGGTTTGGGAGCTTTGATGTGCGCCAGTGTGTTCGGCGTCTCGCTTCCGCCATCACCGTGTGGAGAAAATGGAAAAATATCTCAACTGGAAATATTTGGGTGATCTTGGTCTGTAAAAAGGGGCTTCATAAATAAACATTACTTGCTTGCTTTACAAAGTCGTCAATTTGCCAGCAACAGGTCAGGGAATCACACAGGAAATACAATCATAACAAACACATAGACTGCCGCTCAATCTACTACCACAATCTATTCACTCTCTCATTACATTCATTCCTATTGTACATGTTTTTAGAGATGAAACTGGAGCACCCGGAGGTAACCACAGGGAGAACATGCAAACTTCACAACTTCACACTGTCCTATAATATCATAATGCATAACTGTAATTTTGCTGGTAACAGTTGTCATCTTCAATAACAACAACAACAACCTTTATATCAGTCCCTCTTCCCTTTAAAGTCTTTTTTCTCAATTTCTTTCCATAGGCTCTCATTAGGAATTACAGCACTCAGAAGACGGCTGTGCCTCAAGGGTTAATAGCCACCGGGACCCCAACCCATTCAGGCCTAATGGAGGCAGGGGCCGGTGAAGCAAAGGTGAACCAGACCCACCACAAAAAACTGACTCCACTTATGGAAGCTGCCTACAATTAACCACCATTTTCATCTTCCCTCAGCACTTCACTCAGCCGATATGTGATTGAAAAACTCAATTTGTGAGAAGGTTCTTGAAGTGCAGAGTATTAATGACTCCCCCATCCACAATCCACAGTCTTTTTTCATGCATTTTGTACATTATAAGAAAGACTGTAGGATTGCATGTGTAGGGGGCGCTCACACACAGGCATATGTGTGATAAGGAAGAATAACACTGTCTGGTTTTTAGCTGTTGGCCTGAATGTCATTAATTTTTTTTTTTAAATATATATATTTGGAATAGTCCCTCCCTTTGGCATTTCTGCAACCAGTGAGATTTTCTGAAGTAGAATCGTTAAACCAATGGCAAGGGGTTTGAATTCATTTTAACCAATCAAGTGCTTGTCCTCAAAAAGTTATCTTCATAGTTTGAAAAGTAATTGACATTTAATTGAGTGTACAGCGGAATTCACGCGCACATAAACACACACACGTGGTGTAGAAAACAATATGATTTATTCAGAAGAAGAAGTACGTATTTTAATTTTGTGTAGATTTATGGCAAACATAACTATGATAATCCTTATATCACTAAATGATTTAATACAAAACACTTTAGAGATCATTGAAAAACTTTGACCCATCAACACCACTCAACATGCCCATCTCAAACTCACAAACAGCTCTTTTCTCTTTCCACTCATCTGTCCATACACACACACATTTAAAACAGAAGATAACATAACATTCCAATGCAGAGGGCTCCTCCAGAGGGAATACAATACACTGTCTCAGATGAAGTCACAGTGTTGTAGCTCAAATAAAAAGGTCATTCTAACATAGCAATGGTGCAAAAACCTGAACTTCTGTTCTGTTCTGTGTTTTCAAAAATCATGTCAAAAAGCCATAATGCTTAGAGTCTCACTAATAGCCCAAGTCTAGTCTTGCCCGAAAAACAAAACAAAACTAAAAAGGCTGAAGTGCTCATTATGTTTCTTCCAAATGATCAGGTTTAAATGTTGTGAGAGTCTCCCCCCATCTAGACCAAGGACTACAATGCAAATACTGATACATGCTTTGCTCTTTGATATGATTACAATAAGCTTTGGGATATTCAAATGTGCAGAACTTTTAGTAGTACTTTTAATCTTCCCAAATATGATACTGTAAATAGCCAATTTGCTCAATTTACCTTTAACTCTGTTATTATTATTGATGATATTTATCTTTGTGGAAACGCGTATCATCTTAATGATTTCTCACAATAAATAGATATAGAAATAGATAAATAACAATATAATAAATATGCAACACTTTATTTTTATATTTTTTGACAGTCTTGTGAAATCACAATATCCCATTTTAACTAGCTAGCCACTAACATTTTTTAACAAATCATGAATTACACATGTTTGTACAAATAATAACTACAAAAGTCAACTCTCAAATGTTTAAATAAATCATGTCACACGTGATGATCTCACAGGAGTTTAGAAACCAAAGCGGTACCATTTACGCTGCAACTTTCTCCTCTTCAAAACAAAAACAATAGTGAAGCTGTGTGAGATCATTACATGTGTTTCTACTGTAGGTTTATGTGACCATTCTAAACTCATCGTTTGAACTCATCATCTGTGATGCTGTGAATAAAAAAACAGTTCTTGTTGGAAACAGTTTTTATTAAAGCGAATATCCGGAGGATGAAAAGAGGGCGTGAAAATTCAAACCTGAACGGCACTATGCCGCTACCTAGCCCCTCCCTTGCATTTGTCAATCTTCTTGAAGCCACGCCTCTACGGTTGTGCACGCGCTGAGCCGAACATAACAAAGTTGGAAGGTCCGCAAATATTCGTTCTTTTATTTCATTTCGTGGCGATGGACATTTCTGAGGTAAGACAAAGCATGTATTTAAGAATTTTATCCATTTTGTCTAAGAACTGCATAATATTGCCTATATGCAGCAATGCTAACGTTGCTAATTCTGCTAGTTACTATCAATCGTCGCAACTAAATTGCTAATATAGGTTATATAGCTAGAGCTGACCCTTTGCTTTGCATATCACATGTCACATATATATGTGTTTTGCTGCTTAGAGTTCGCATGCAGCAGAGTCGTCCTCTGACGAGGATTCACCCCCTTTCACCCCGACGAGCAGAGCACCTAAGCGAGCCCGTCCGTCTACGTCCAGGGGCCGTGGACTGGGTCGGGGTCGGCGTGCCCCGAGAGGCCGAAGTGCTGGCAACGTAGGCCTGGAGGATTCTGCACGTGTTCATGAGATTCGAACCCAGCGCATCAACTTTGAACGGGTATTTAGATGTAAATACATTTTGAGAAGTCTTCATTTGGTTGTACGAAACTAGTGTTAGGAGTATATTATAGATAACAATCGTTATATTACTAGTTACTGTAATGGGTAACCATTAGATGCACTGGAATTCCACATGCTGTTCTCGCTGTAGTTAGATATAGAACTTGTGTGACATAAAACAAATTGTACATAGAAACCACTTAAAATTGACATGTAGTGTATCATCATTACTATACAATTATTAGGGTTAGTGGAATATATTCAAAAGACAACAAATAGAGTGTAATATTGAATGAATGAAGCTTTTATTACGGACTCATGGTCCAACACCATTGTTATGCCTGTATCACAATATAACATTAAAACTAGTAATCTCTTATGTATAACACTGAGTAACTTGGCAAATAAAGGTATTGTTTATGTGCATATAGAACTTGTCTTATTATTGTACAACTATGTGTATATTTCTTAGGAACTCCTTCAAAGCCTAAGCCACCAGGACGCTCTGGAAGTACTGCAGGAAGTGTTGGAGAGGAACCCTGGCGTTCTCCTTGACATCATGCACCGTTCAGGCCCAGCTACACGAGACCCGCTTACAGATAATCAGCCTACTTGGTGTGTCTGCAGCCACTGTAAAGACATGCCAACAGACATTGAAAAAAAATGCTGCCAGCAATCCCCTGTCCTGTGCGTTTCTCTTGCTCCGCACATGCAGACTCTGGTTCTTCACGAAGGGGTTTTGCGACTGGCGAGGAATCTGTGGAATGACTTACGCGCACTTCATGATGATTCGGAACCAGGGGAGGACAACAGACAATTTCGCCATGCTGCATATAGGCAATACGTTTCATGGCAGTATGGCACACTGGGAGCTCGCAACAGGGTGGTCATTCCAAGTTGTGTGGTATGGAGAATAAGATAGAAATACCCTGATCTGAATGGGATCTACACCGGCTTCATTCCCAGACGATTATAATTTAATTATATTGTAAAGTGTTGTTGAAAGGATTGTGTGTGTGTGTTTTAATAAAGGATCCTAATTGAATCTGATGCCTATGTGCTGTAATTACAACAGGCAAAGCATTTCAGCAAAAGTATATACATTTATTTACAAACTTCAGAATAGAATAAATATTCTATTGTTGCAGGAAAAATTCCAAATCTATTGCCGTTCTTCTTGACCTGCTGAAATTAACCTCTTAAGGATCACCCTCCCTGTACAGGGAGGATTCAGTTATTTTTCATTTAACAGCATCAGTATTAGAATTCACTTGTGTCAATATAGTCAAGCTATATCTCTTTTGAAAGCTTATTCCCACCTCTATACACGTATTATGTTCAAATAAACATTAAATATAACCAAAAGTAAGAATAAGTAGTCAAACTGTATATATGTTTAAAATATATATTGTCGTTTCTTACCTTGTCATGCTAATATTCTGGGGCAAATCACGTCTAATCCACACATGTGTGCATTCATTTTGTTCGTTACGGTCTAGAGAATAATTATATCCAGTTGTTTTTTCTTCAAAGTCATCCACTTGCAACAACATATTTGAGTATTGAAAGTTGCACAAACAAAAACAAAACCTGTTCTTTGCGCACTGTATGAAGAGGACATTTTACTGTTTAGCTAGCGTCACTGGGTATGTTCGTCTTCCTCTCAGTCTTCCCTTCAAAACAAGCCCATTCCCGGACTTTTCAGTGCTATGGTTTGGAAAGTAGAGTGAGTTGAGTAAAACAAGCGCACCTAGCTTTAGCGCTCCATTCACATAGATATCTGTGCGTCACGACAGCATTGTCTTGACTACCATTGGCCGATTTGGATGTCCATCAAATCATCTTGTAGCCAATAATCTCAGGTTTCAGGCGATGTGTCGGACTTCTAGCTTCCTCCCACTGTTCCCGTCATATTTGAATGCGTAAAGAGGAAGACGGAGCCTTTTTCACGGAGAACACGCGCTATAACTATATAAATAATAGCTTTTCTGCAAACATTTCAATATCTGGAAAAAATGCTATTTATAGCAAGAGTAATAGCCAAAAAATTATATAAATGGATTTTTGGTGTAAAAACATTGATAATTTGCATGTAAAACACTTTTGCACAGTTGGCACAAAAATGGACCACTTGTGCCGAATGTGCCCATTAGTTACAAAAAAGCCCCCAGCATCAAAATAGTTCCACCTAAAGGTCTAAAATTTCATACAGGTGTTTCCAACACCACAAACATCTGCTCTGGTGAGTTTGAACATCATACCATAAAGTATGTCTTCAGAAGAACCTTTTGAAATTGCCTTTTTTTTTTTGAGACAAAAAAAACTAACTTTGACTCATGTTTGAGAAGCTGTAGTGCAGACTGTGTCCTTCCTAACAAACTGTAACATACATTTTCAGAAACTAGAAGGTGTTACCTTTCAAATGAGGCATCATAACACAAAATCAGACACAAGATGTCCACACAATAAGCATTTCCATTTGGGTATCATAATTCGAGAAGGAGCAGGCGAAATTAGGTGATCCTTAAAGGGTTAAACAACTTATCAGAGGGGAAAAAATAAACAACATTGAAATACAACATCTTACCATCTCCACGGCTGACATGTTTGTCCCTCAGTTCTTTTGTTGATGGGGCTGGAACACCACAAACTAACCCTAAATGTCTTGGGTCATTAGATCTGAGTTTGGTGTGTTTTGGGAGTCCTCTGTTGCTGTTTATCCGAGCAGCCACAATCTTGCTTTGAAGTGAGGGAATATAGGCATAGTCCTTCTTTACCTTCAGAGCATAAAAAGCCCAGGATCTTGATTTTTTATTAAACACTCTTCAGATTCAGATTCAGATTCAGATTCAATTTATTGGCCATGTGCAGTATAAAAACTACATTGGAATACATTTGCAAAAAGAGGTACTCTGTGTGCACCGACAGAATAAAAAGCACGATAGAATTTAATATAAAATACACATACACTGAATATAAAATAATAAAAAAACAGCTGACACTGTGGCACCGATCAACAAAACAGTACAAGGGGTAAAAGCAGGAATTAAAATGCTCTGTTTAGGCACCTAACAGCCTGTGGAAAGAAGCTGTTAGCATAGTGAGATGTCTTGCATCTCAGTGACCGATATCTTCTGCCAGAGGGAAGAAGCTGGAACATGGCTTTCCCAGGGTGGCCAGAAGAGTCACCGATGATTTTAAGAGCTTTGTTTAAAAGTCTGGATTTGTAAAGAACCTCCAGAACAGGAAGCTCACAGCCCACGGTCCTCTTTGCAGAGCGGAGCACCTTGTTTAAAGCTCTCTTTTCTTTATCTGTGATGTTTCCAAACCACACAGACACAGAACCAACAAGTAAACTCTCAATGGTGCAGCGATAAAAGTTAAGCAGAATCTTAGAGTTAGTGGTAAATTCTCTAAGTTTCCGCAAAAAGAAGAGCCGCTGACGAGCTTTCTTAACAACCCGGTCAGTGTTTTTAACCCTTTTCAGGTCGTTAGACAGAGTTAAACCCAGGAACTTGCACTCCTCTACGATCTGCACCTGGGAGTTGTCAATAACAACAGGAGTGTGAGAACTGCTACGACTGAAGTCAAAGACAAGTTCACATGTTTTTGCAGTGTTCAGCTGGAGATTGTTTACTTTACTCCACTGAAAAACATGTTCGATCTCTGCTCTATAAGAGGAATCATCATTGTCACTGATGAGACCGATGATGGTGGTGTCATCAGCATATTTGATGATCAAATTTGAGTCAGAGGAGGACACACAATCGTGAGTGTACAAAGTAAAAAGCAGAGGACTCAAAATACATCCCTGAGGAGAACCAGTGCTCACAGAAACAACATCAGAAAAACAGTCATTGATTTTTACTATCTGAGATCTGTCAGTTAAAAAGCTAAAAATCCATTTACACATGGCAACATTCAGACCAAGGGACATTAGTTTTTCAACCAATATGCTTGGGACAAGACAATTAAAAGCAGAGCTATAATCAATGAACAGCATTCTCGCGACAGAATTACTAGTGTCCAAATGAGTGTAGACAGAGTTCAGAGCAAAGGAGATGGCATCCTCCACACTCCTGTTCTGTCTGTAAGCAAACTGGAGCGGGTCAACGCTCGCAGGGATCTGGCTCTTAATAAACTCCAGCACGAGCCGCTCAAAAGTCTTCATAAGAACAGACGTGAGAGCCACAGGGCGGTAGTCATTGAGACATGTCACTGGAGACTTCTTAGGAACTGGAATAATGGTGGACCTTTTAAAGCTCACCGGCACCGTACAGCTCCTGAGTGACAAGTTAAAGATGTCCGTTAAAACAGGGGCAAGTTGCTCGGAGCACAGTTTCAGGACGCGGGGAGGAATGCAGTCCGGGCCTGGGGCTTTCCGAGCTGTGGTCCTGGACAAGACCCGCCGTACTTCATCCTGAGTCACTGTGAAGGCACCCTGACATTCGGGGAAGACAAAAGGCAGGGGATCAGCAGATTCAAAGCAGCAGTAAAAGTCGTTGAGCTCGTTTGGCAGAGTTTGGCCAGCAGCAATTTTCCCTGCACTTGGTTTCCAGGACGTGATAAGACTGATCCCTTCCACATGCGTCGGGGGTCCTCTTCCCCAAAGAAGCCCTCTAACCTGTCCCCATAGGAACGCTTAGCAGCTTTTATAGAGCGTTCCACAGCGTAGCAGGACAGCTTGTAAGCACCCTCGTCACCGGATTGAAACGCCAGTGTCCGCTCATTAATTCTAAGTTTGACATCAGTGTTCATCCAAGGTTTTTGGCCGGAGTGTTCTTTGATAACTTTATAGGGGACACAACAGTCAATGCAAAATTGTATGTATCCTGTCACAGCCTCACAGAATTCATCAACATTCTCAGAGTTAAAAACAGACCAGTCTGTGGCATCAAAGCAGCCCTGCAGCTTCATGTTAGCCTCCTCAGACCAGCACTGCACAGTGCGGGAAGTAGGTTTGTGCTGTTTGTTCCTCTGTGTATGAGACTTCTCCCTCTAAATGTAACAAAATATATATATTTTTAAAACAAAGGAAAAATGATTTGATTATCTTTTGGTATACACTTACTGCAAGGATCCATCAGGATATCTTCTCATAGGCCGGTCAACATGGTGGTTGTAGCCCAAAGCAGCAAGATAAACACGTGCATTGTACACAGGCTGTACAAAGCTAAAACGTTTACTTGCATACATGAGAAGATGATTGTGGAAGGATTCCAAATGTGCTGTGGACCTACAAAAATAAACAAAAAAACTCCATTTAATTTTACAATCTATAGAAGAAAAAGATGAATATAGTCACCTGTTTTCCTACCTGAAATTCAAATATTTTGGGACATCCTTGAGCCAGCGTTCTTTCAGAATGATTTCGGAAAGGGCAGAGTGTGCTTTGGATCCTTTCTTTATCCATTCCTTAGTAGGCTCTTCCACCAATGGGTCATGTTGGCATGCATCATAGGGCCATTCATGTTCACCAGTGACGTGGTGCAATAAGCCAATCCACATGGGCTACGAAGTAAAACAATAAAAAGGCCATTAGTAAGAATACAATAAAAAGACAATTATGGCACAATTCAAGTTCCTCACTTGACTCAACAATATTTGGTGTATCTATTCACTTTAAAATGAATATTTTAAGGTTAAGATTTTAAGCTTAAAACTACTTACAAAGAATCTTTCATAATTATCTGCTACTTTGCAGCAAAACCAGAAATGATGTCTTTCTTCCACTGCAACAGAATTTTGCAATCCTGCTGTTGGCCAGACTGTAAACAAAGGTCAGCATAAATACAATAAACAAAAATAAAAATAATTTCTACTCACAGCATGTATTCGTTTCCCGAGGTTCTTTGCACCATGCCACATATCGAAGCTATGCTCCACTCCAGAATCTTTATATATTCCAGTTCCTAATTGAAAAAATAACTAGTATTGTTTAGTTTACATTGTAGTGTACTTACTGAAAAGTGCAGAAATCTGGGTATGCGCATCAGTACAAATCTCAGAAATATTGACTTCATTTCTAAGTTTGTCTAAACTATCAATGAATGCCAACTTTCCCATTATGGTGGAATGTCCCTGGGCTTCTCGCTTGTCTTTATTGGCAATATTCATAATCTTTTTACTGCCATTGTCCATCACAGTGTATGTGCAGTATTGGGCCGAAAAACCAGGGCTGTCCATTCTTGCATCTCCTGTGTTTTTAACAGAACAATGTATATGTCAAAATCATTCCAAATTGTTTAATTCATAAAAATTAATTGAATACATTTGATTATAGCTTTAAAACAAATAACTTACCAAGTGCAACAACTCTTTCATCCTTCAAACTAGAGATTATGGAAGCTCTTTTCTCTTCCCAAAATTCCTCAATGGTTGTCACACAGTATGCATCTTGAATGGCAAAGAAAGATGTCTGAGCTACTATACCCATGTTCATGTACTTGAACAGAAGGGCGACTTTGGAATAGTTATTTCCACTGAGAAGTATGTTTGTGGCGAGCATGAAATCGCCCGTTTGCATATCGAATTTAAATGTGGGCTGTGAATTCCATTGCCATACTGTATGACCATTGAGACACACCTAAAGAGTATGAAGATGAAAACGTGTGTTAGATATATTGATCCATGCTTATTTTAAAATCCCAATTTGCCCTCATACCCATTTCAGTAGAACAGCGCTTCCCCTTTTAACAAGAAAAACTTCAAATGGTCCAGTGGCTCCACATTCATCTTTTAGAGTTTTTGCTGGACATCTTCTAATTGGCATTTGAAGAAATGTAACAAGCTGCTTTAGGCAGGTGTCATACACAATGGCAGCTTGCTGGCCTACAATGTCCTCTGGGGTTTCAACTCTGATGCTGTTGCATGGTATGGACGGATCATCACAAGGTGGGAGGTGAGGGTCTTGTCCTATGCCATCATACACAATGTCCTCCGCAGTGGCCACAGGAAGCTCATCAATATTGTAGGCAAGTGAAGCTCCAGGTCTGAGCAGAAATGATACAACTGATATATTTTTTATTTATTTACACAATACATTTCAATAAGTTTGTGTAAGCCCTCATTCGTACAGGGATTAGTCAAAGCAAAGGAAGGTTTCTCACCCATCATCTGTACTTCTTAGCAAGTTTTCCCGACGTTTCGTCCTCAACCTAGCGGACTTCTTCAGGGAATGAATTCTCGGACCGCGCGTTGGAGATTTATAACCTATGGGTGTGGTAAGCCACACCCTAATCCTGATACTAACTCGTAAACAATCTAAGGTCTGCTTGATGTAGAAGGGAGCAGGTCTAACGACCCCTCTGAGGTAGAAACTTCTTCTGTGTCTTTAGATGGGGTCCATGTTTCATCTTCTGTCCAGTCAATGCTGTACACAGAGGGACATCATATTTTTTTGTATTATTATTATTAACTAATGTGGTGTATTCAATTAAATGTAGTGAAGAGGAGTGCACTGACCACTATATTGGAAAAACTAAACAAACTCTACAGAAACGACTTTACCAACATCGTAGAGAAAACTCTAGTGGGCCGCAGTCGGCTGTTCATCTCCACCTCAAGGCCTCCAACCACACGGTGGATGACACAGAGGTTAAAATTCTGGCTCGGGAGAAGAATTGGTTTGAGAGAGGGGTGAAAGAAGCCATTTTTGTGAGGAAACAAAAACCTTCTCTTAACAGAGGAGGAGAGTTAAGATTTGTTTTGCCTCGCATCTATGACGACATCCTTAAAACAACGCCCTAACTTGGGACAAGGTCCGTGACATGCTAATGAGTTAGGAGGGGTGAGACCTGCACTCCACTTGAGCATCCCAGCAGACAATAGGTCTGTGACATGCTAATGAGTTAGGGTCGTTAGCCTCAGCAGGGTCGTTAGACCTGCTCCCTTCTACATCAAGCAGACCTTAGATTGTTTACGAGTTAGTATCAGGATTAGGGTGTGGCTTACCACACCCATAGGTTATAAATCTCCAACGCGCGGTCCGAGAATTCATTCCCTGAAGAAGTCCGCTAGGTTGAGGACGAAACGTCGGGAAAACTTGCTAAGAAGTACAGATGATGGGTGAGAAACCTTCCTTTGCTCCAATACATTTCAATATTAGTAATTAAGTAATGTTTATTTATACAGCGCATTTTACAGACCAAGGTCACCCAAAGCGCTTTACAATGTTCAGAGTTCAGATATTTTCTCATCGTTTCATTCATTATACAATGATTGAAATGTTTAAACGCAGCACCTCATACTGTTCTAGCCTCCAAGCATGCGTTTATACTCAAACTGCAGGGCTCCTCTTTACCCCCTTACATAAATAACACTCACCTGATTCGTATTGTTGGTATGTAGTCCGTGTCACTGTCGTCAGGACTCACTGTCTTCCTCTCTTGTTTCCTCCTCTGAGGTAGAAACTTCTTCTGTGTCTTTAGATGGGGTCCATGTTTCATCTTCTGTCCAGTCAATGCTGTACACAGAGGGACATCATATTTTTTTGTATTATTATTATTAACTAAGAAAGGTGTACTGCACTGGATCAGATGTATTGATTACACATGCTCATTGGACTGAAAAACTTGTAACAACTTTTAAAAAGGGCTAGGCAGAATTTGATAGTGGCAAATTTCCCGTGACCACTTGTTGCAAAACATTAGCTCTGTAACATATCTTTTGCAGCAAGTGGTCTTACATTTCTTGTATACATTTTTTATACTCACATTGAATTCTGCAAACTGTTTACATCATCCTGAAATCCTGAAAACAACATTGTTTACACCAAATTTACAAAAAATTATAATATCGTGAATAACGTACCTTTTTCCATCATCGTCACTGCCAATTGGGAGTACTTCGTAGAAATCCTCCTCTCTAAAAAAAAAAAAAAAGTAGAGTGAGTGAGGCAAAAAGAAATAAGGAAAAATGTTGATATAAACTACAGTGTACACACAATATAAATGCTGCTGTGTGGGAACAACTGGATTAGCCTTTATTTTATATTGGGATCATTCAGATGCTAACAGGATAGATCACGTACCTTTCAGACAACGACTCTGCAATACTGGAAAGAGCTGGCATCACAAGTCGTTTTCTTTTAATATTTCTTCTTGGTGTCGACGTTGAAGAATCTGATCGTTTCTGATAGCTACAAATTAAACATAGAAAGATACGTTATAATCATTAGAATGACGTTTAACTACACAACGTTGCACTGACTTGCAGGAGTTTGCAGCCAAAAAGCTAGTACAAGTAACATGTCAGAAAAAGTAGCGCTAGTAATAACGTGTTTTGGGGTACCGTGATTGTTAGTTGCTACGTGAAAACCAATAAATCCATGTAGTGACAATTGAAGAACGAATAATAAGTTTCATTTGACTTGAAATGAAACATGGACTCGGTCCACAGTAGAAGTGTGCCAGCTAGCTGAGCCGACATATTGCTAGCGAATGGTACGCTAACGTTAGCTTTGATGCATGCTAATTGACACTATGCACATTCTACTGTTGCAGAAAGACAGTGATATTGTTTTTCACTAGCGACACGTTTAAAAGTGGGCATTAAAAAGTTTTCATTACCTGTCCAAGAGATACATTGCCAACTCAGGGTCAGTTTTAAATCCCTTCAAAAGCCGCAGGTCCCTCCACCTTTGAAACGCCGCTCCAAGATATATTCTCCGGTGGTCACGAAGGCGTCTATCTGCCAACTTTGTCCCCGGACTTTTCTTTTGTTTTGATGTAGGAGCAGCTTTAGATGGCAATCGTGGTATTGGCAATTTCGGGTTTACGGAGCTTTCCGCCATGATGTTGTGTTCGCTGGCCGAAGATGCGCGTCCTTGTGGCCATGCACGGTTTTGTGCATGCGCATGGACCTTGACTGACAGTCGCCGCTGCAGGAAGTAAAAAGCCTATTGGCTAGCTGATCGAGCCTCGATTTTCAGTTTGTATAGGGGTCTATAGGCCGAGGGCGGGACTTACATACATCGATGTATACAAATTACCAATGGCACTCGACCATAGTAAAAGACAGCGAAATCCCTTTTTCACAATTCAAAAGAATAATACATAAACCAAGACTTTCCAGAAACTCCGGATATTCGCTTTAATGTGTATTCAGCATGAACAGCAAAACAATAAGTGGTAAATATCTCAGACAAACATGAACTATTTACAAGTGCAGGAGGAATGCAACAGACACAGCTACGATTCAAACAAAGACAGGAACAGTGCAAAAGAAACAACTGCACAGTTTATAAGTTAGATATGCAAGAGAACTTAGTCCACAGTCCCTGCATGTACAGTATCAGGCTCTGAGCCCAAACTGCCTTTCCTTCGGTTCAGAAGGAAGAAGCAGGCAGTATACAATGTCCTCAATGGAGATGTTTAGGGCCAAGAGCTGAGGCAGGGAGAGGTTGTGTCTGGATTTGAACAACAGCCACTGTTGGCCGGGAGAGCAGTGATCGAGATGAAGATTTGCAGTCCAAGCCAGATCATGGAACTGCGAGAATCCATACTGATGATATCCTGCCGCTCGCTTTCCAAATCACAGCCATTTGATAATGCAAGGGTCATTTTAACGCCACTAAGATAGTTTTGGTTGATTTATGGTATTATTTATGGTTTCTGGAGGAGGTTGTCCCATGTGTGGGACAGGAGGAAGGCTCCTTTGTCTCGGTTGATGCTGCTGTTGTTTCAGGGTTACCATCATCATGTCATGAAACACATGAGGCACTGGGACAGTGGGTGAATAGCAATGAAAAGACTACAGCTAAAGTCAGAAAGTCCGCAGGAGTGTAGAATAAAACAAGAGCAACAGCAAACAAATAAGCCAACTGCTTTTGTGAGTCCTGTGGGTGTGAAATGTTGTTTTGAAAACTAACATTATATTTCTAAATGGGCTATTGCTACACTTAATCGTCTGACTCTGTATCCATTCATTACTCTAGAGTATACTATAAATGTGGAAAGAATATTTCTCACTGTTCTCTGGTCAAATATTTATACTTGATTAATTTTGATTGAATAATTAAAGAGCCTCTAAACAATTAGATATTTTTTTTTAAATCGAGTCCCGGCCCTAGTAAGAGAACAAAAGCCCTGTTTCCACCCCACCTACTCTACTCTACCAGTAAGTGTTCTAGCTCTTTCTCTCTCTGGTCTCTCTGATACCATGGATAGATAAAGTATTTTAGCCAGAACAGCAGCAGGTGATTTTCCGAAGTGTTGACAAGTAAAAGAGCGGTCCGATGTAGAAGCCTAAGTTGGCAAACACCAGCACAAACCACTCCCCTATCGTCAAGTCTTCCATATAAACGCCTGTGGTACATATGATCGCAAGGTACATGGCAATTAGGGGGCCGTAGGCAATGCCTGTTGGCACTATCACTATTATAACATTCACAAGAGCACGTTTTTTTAACAAATCACTGCTGCTGTTAGCTCCCTCTCCTGGTCCGCTCTGGTATAGCACCCAGACTAATCCAACCAAGCAACTAAGCATTATCAGAAAGAAGACAGAACAAAATACAGGTATGATTATGGTCAAAGGTAGTGAAGACTCAACGTAAAAGTGGCGCACAAAGACCACAAACACTGTAGTGATCCATGTGACGGCGCTTAAAACAATTCGGGGTTTGGTTTTGTTGACATGTAAGTACGTAAACGGGAACGCAACGGCTACGAAACGCTCCAAGCACATCAGCGTCAGAAACAAAGGACATCCAAACACGTTTAAAATGTCCATGTAGTCAAAGACAAAAAAACATTCTTTATAAGTCTCAAAGTCAAGACAGAAGTAAAATTCTAAAGGTAGAAGCAGACAGTACAAGATGCAGACAATGGAGATGTTCAGGGCCAAGAGCTGAGGCGGGGAGAGGTTGTGTCTGGATTTGAACACCAGCCACAGGAGGGCGCTGTTGGCCAGGAGAGCAGGGATCAGGATGAAGACTTGGAGTCCGAGCCTGATGTTATGGATGGTGATGTAGTCCTTGATGTCGCTGGTACCGTGGTTGTAGCTGGTGCTGTGGTTTTTGCTGGTGCTGTGGTTGTTGCTGGTGCTGTGGTTGTAGCTGGTGCTGTGGTTGTTGCTGGTGCTGTGGTTGTTGCTGGTGCTGTGGTTGTTGCTGGTGCTGTGGTTGTTGCTGGTGCTGTGGTCGTAGCTGGTGCTGTGGTCGTAGCTGGTGTTGTAGCCGTAGCTGGTACTGTGGTTGTAGATGTCAACAGTCGATGGTGCGGTGGATGCGTTGGACGTGGGGAAATTGCTGATGTTCTGCATTGGGCCTGAAAAGCCAAAGACATTTTAGAAAATTGTCTGTAAAATACTGGACATATTTGACAAACCAGGATTTGTTTGGGAGTTTTATCTGCTGTCTCTTCCCTTCGGCGCTCCGTGGATTCCGTATCTAACCGGCTTCGCGCAGTCGAGGCCCGGGACCCTGCCGTTGTTACGATGCTGGCTCCCATGGCGTCTCCCGTGGGTGTCCCTGAGGCCGGTTATTCCCTCGGCACCGCTGTTCCCGCTTCAACGCCTGGTAGGCCCTACATGATTTCTTTTTCCAATCTGTCCTCGCGCCTGCGTTCCAAGATCCTGCTGGGGCGCTACATCAATCTGGTCTCTCTCATTCTCCCCTCCCCCGAGTGCGACAGGCAGGTGGCGGCTTCCCATCTGGTCGCTGCGGTCGTGAAGACCGCGGATCCATCGGGGAGTTCCTCGTCGCTTTCGGGGTCTACCGCGACGTACTGTGCTCTGTGTTTCCCGAGCGCAGGCCCGAGCTGGACTCCTACTTAAGCCTGATGGGGGACCTGGCCCTCAGGTACGGAGGCAGCATTTTTTACCGTTACCACAAGGCCTTTGCTGCCAAGGCCGCGGCCCTCGTGGCCCAGGCTAACCTCAGAGTTGACTGGGCCGTGCTGGACACGGAGGTCCTGCTGCTGTCCATCGGTGGCACCCGAAGTGTTCCCCGGTGCGGCGCTGCGGGGCACACTTCTTCCCTCTGCCCCAGAGTTCCCTTCGGACGCCTCGGGGGTTAGCCATCACGTCCCTGCCCGTCTCCCCCCCACAAGACTGAGGCCTACACTAGCGCTCCCGTATGTAACAAATTCAATTTGAGTGTTTGCAACTATCACCCCTGCTCTTACCTCCATGTCTGCAGTCTGTGCAGGGAGACCCACCCCCGTTTCTTGTACCCGCGGCGCTGCCCGCCAAGCCGCTGTTCCGAGGGGCCTTCTTCCAGGCGCTGATCAGGGCCCACCTCTCGACCCAGGTGTCCGTGCCCGGGCTGGCCCGCGCGCTTGTTCTCCATCCCGACCGGGCCTTCGTCGACTTCCTCCTCTCCGGCCTGGCGCAGGGCTTCCTCGTTGGCGTGGAGGCCCTCCCCGCGGCGTCTCTCGTGTCCCGCAACCTGCTCTCGGCTTTCCGCGAGCCCCTTGTGGTCACACGGCTCCTGGCACGGGAGGTGTCCAAGGGTTACGTCATCGGCCCCATCTCCAGGCTCCCCTTCTCTCCGTTTCCCTCCAACCCGGAGCCACTCGGAAGTATTCCGGGAAGAAGCGTCTCATCTTTGACCTCTCCTCTCCCTGCTCCGGGCCCACCCCTAGCAATAGTCTGATCAATAGTCTGATCCCTCCCCCGCCCTTTTCCCTGCAGTACGCTACCTGGGACCATGCGATCAGACTGATAAAGAGTTTCGGCCCCGGTTCCTGGTTCTCCAAGGCCGATATCACGGACGCGTTCAAGCTGCTGCCCATTCACCCCAACCACTGGCATCTGTTCGGTGTCAAGTGGCGCTCCGAGTTTTACTTTGCTGTGCGCCTCACTTTCGGATGCCGGAGCAGTCCTTCTTTATTTAATAATCTCTCGGAGGCGCTGTGTTGGATCCTAACCCTAACCACCCTACTCTACTCTAATCTACCCTACCCTACCCTACCCTACCCTAAGCATTTACACCGACCCTGTTTAACTGGCTCCAGGTCCTTCCTTAGTCCATCTTGGCCCTGGTTCTATCTTGGCCGAGCTGGTACTAAAGTCTTCTGACAGTTTTTGGGACAAAGTGCGCGCCCCGCTCGAACAATTCTCAACGGATTTACACTTCTCACAAACATGTGTTTTGTATGAGGCAGACAGACCGGCCCAAATATGGGCATCGGTCCTTCGGGCATTGCCCGGTACGCCCGATGGCCAGTCCAGCCCGGTCCAGCCCTACAAATTCGAAGTGTTGCACAGTAGAGGGGGGCTGGGCCGAAGTGTTTAATTGGACGCCCATGCCCTTATATAGCTATCTCGCTGCAAATACTGTGACGTAAAAATCCGAAACACATAATAGAGAATTGCAAAATCAGAACGGGTTGAAAAATCTAACCTAAACAGAATATGAAGTGTTCTCTGCAACCCATGAAGAGACTGATTTCAACTTTTTTGCACTTCTAGAGGCTCCAAATACACAACATAAGGCATTTTACGCACAAAAAGTGGATTTTTCATGATATGTCCCCTTTAACAAACAATATGGTGCTATGTCCGTCTCCCTCACTCTGTGACTCTGTAGTAATGTTTATTAATCTCAATGTAGATCATTGCACCTTATTATAATTATTGAAATTGCATATGTCTTGAGCCTCTACAGTATGTGCTTCCACATAATGTAAAAATAATCGTTAAAAAAGAAAAAAAGAAAAAAGAAACAGCCGGGCCGTCAAGGAGGGAAAAATGCATGGGCCGTTTTTTGGTCCCAGTCCAGCCCTGCTGGATACTAGTTGTTGTTGTTAGTAGGCTGCTAGGATACGGTACCACATACTAAAGTGTAAAAGTAACACAACCAGGTAGAGTAGAGTAGAGTAGAGTAGAGTAGAGTAGAGTAGAGTAGAGTAGAGTAGAGTAGAGTAGAGTAGACTAGACTAGACTAGACTAGACTAGACTAGACTAGACTAGACTAGACTAGACTAGACTAGACTAGACTAGACTAGACTAGACTAGACTAGACGCGACGCGACGCTCACCATCTGTAACCTCCACTTTGAACTCTTGGTAATTCATTCGGTTTGACCCTTCCCAGAGGCAGCCGTATCGGCCCGAGTCATTCAGGGTCAGGTTGGAGATGGTCAGAGTGATCGTGTCTTCTGGAGGAGAGCCCTGGATCTGGTGTTTGATGCTGTATCTGCCGCGAGTCTGAGGTCCAAGGTCTGAAGTCTGCACCAACATGTCCTGCTGACAGTCTCCTCTACAGAACGCTCTCTGGGACACGGTCAGGTTGTCATAAGACCAGCTGCAGAGGACCGACTCTTCTGACCCCTCAGACCATGTATGGACAACGAGAGCTGTGGTGAGTGCAGCGTCCCAGAACACTGCCAACAGAGAGACACATGTAGAGGCATCTGGGAGTATGGTGAGTGTCTGAGGGTGTCTTACTGATGCAGGATGGAGGATTTGAACTATTGCACAAGAAACCAGAGCACCCAGACACTGGAGAGAAACCAGAGTGGGACCAGAGAGAGAGACCAGTGAGAAATATCAGAGAGAGACCAGAGAGATCAAAGAGAAACCAGAGAGAAATCATAGAAAGACCTGAGACCAAAGATAGACCAGAGAGAGATAAACCAGAGAGAACACTGCCAACAGAAAGACACACGTAGAGGCATCTTGGGGTATGGTGAGCATCTGAGGTCGTCTCACCGATGCAGAGCAGCCACAGTCGCGACAATCCCATGATGCAGTGTCCTCTCAGAGACATGAACGTTCTCTACATGAAACAAGATAAACTATACAATGAACATTAGACAGAGTCACCAGAGTCAGCCCCGAAGAAGCACCTTCAGTGTCAGTCCGTGGTGTGCTCCTTTCAGAGTGTGATTCATTGTTACATTAATGTTGTCATTTTCATATTAGGTATTTGCATCCCAGTGAAACAGCCGGAAGCCAAAACAAAGAGCCTCTGTGATGAGAGAAACCAGAGACAGGGACCAGGAAGAGACCAGAAAGAGACCAGAGAGAGACCAAGGCAAGTTTATTTGTATAGCACAATTCATACACAAGACAACTCAAAGTGCTGAACAAAATAAGAAAGCATTCAAATCATAATAATCACAGTACATTAAAAAGAAAGATACAAATATAAAATCCCTCAGTTGTATGCACAGCTAAACAGGACTGTTTTAACCTGGTTTTAAACATTGTCAGAGAGGAGGCCTGTCTCACATCTTCAGGAAGATTGTTCCAGATTTTAGCAGCATGAAACTGAAATGCATCCTCCCCATGTTTAGTTCTGACTCTGGGCACTAACAGGAGTCCAGTCCCTGTGCTCCTCAGAGTCCGAGCTTGTTCATATGGTACTAACATGTCACTAATATATTTTGGTGCAAGGCCATGGAGAGACTTGTACACAAGCAGAGCTGTTTTAAAGTCTATTCTCTGAGCCACAGGAAGCCAGTGCAGAGACCTGAGGACCGGACTAATGCGGTCGTACTTGCTGGTTCTAGTCAGGACTCGAGCTGCTGCAATTTGAATATACTGCAGCTGTTTTACAGCCTGTTTGGACAGACCTGTGAGGAGGCCATTGCAGTAGTCTAACCTACTGGAGACAAATGCATGGATAAGAATCTCCAAGTCTGCTTTAGACACTATGTTTTTGATCCTGGCAATGTTTTTTGGGTGGTAAAAAATCTGCTGATGTTACTGATTTGATGTGGCTATTAAAATGTAAGTCTGAGTCCAGTATTACCCCTAGATTTCTGACCTTGTTTGAAGGTTTTAGGGAGAGAGACTGGAGGCGAAAGATATTAACTGTAGGTTAATACAGTTAATACACAGAATCTCTACATGGCAGCATGTAGAGATTGAACAGAAGAGGTCCCAGGATCGACCCCTGTGGTACTCCACAGGTCAGGGCCATATGATCTGAGGCACAGTTTCTAATCTCCACAAAGTACTTCCTGTCTTCAAGGTAAGACCTAAACCAACTTAGGGCGGTGCCAAGCGACACCAACCCAGTCCTCTAGTCTCTGTAAGAGGATCTCATGGTCGACAGTCTCAAAAGCTGCACTCAGATATAACAAGATTAAGATTGAGACTTTGCCTACATCAGTGTTCAGCCGGATATTGTTAGTCACCAGAGAGAGACCAGTGAGAGACCAGAAAGAGCCACAAAAGCTTCCCCAACAAGGTACGTACATGAAGTATCATTTAGCTTTTACATGTCTTACATTTAAGATCGGACGCGCTCCTTTGATGTGCAGCAGGTGATTTCCCGAAGCGTTGATACAGAAAAAGAGAGGTCCAATTTAGAAGACAGAGTTTGGAAACGACAACAGGAACGTTTATCGTATCACTACTGCTGTTGGCTCCTTCTCCTTGTCCACTCTGTTGTAGAATCTAATATAATCCCACCAACAGATAAAACATTATCAGAAAGAAGACCAAGATTATCACAGCTAAAGACAAGATGGTCACCATTGTGTCTTGGAAGTACTGCAGAAAGGCCACAAACACTGTCATGCTCCGTGACGCTGCTTAGAACAATTCAGGGTTTGGTTTTGTTAAGTAAGTAAGTACGTGATGAGGAACGCAGCAGCTACGAAGCGCTCTAAGCACATCAACATCAGAGAAAAAGGACATCCGAACATGTTTAGAAGGAAGAAGCAGGCAGTATACAATGTCCACAATGGAGATGTTTAGGGCCAAGAGCTGAGGCAGGGAGAGGTTGTGTCTGGATTTGAACAACAGCCACTGTTGGCCGGGAGAGCAGTGAATCGAGATGAAGATTTGCAGTGCGAGCTAGATCATGGAAAGGCGAGGATCCATACTGATGATATCCTGCCGCTCGCTTTCCAAATCGCAGCCATTTGATAATGCAAGGGTCATTTTAACGCCACTAAGATAGTTTTGGTTGAATTATGGTATTATTTGTGGTTTCTGGAGGAGGTTGTCCCATATGTGGGACAGGAGGAAGGCTCCTTTGTCTCGGTTGATGCTGCTGTTGTTTCAGGGTTACCATCATCATGTCATGAAACACATGAGGCACTGGGACAGTGGGTGAATAGCAATGAAAAGACTACAGCGAAAGTCAGAAAGTCCACAGGAGGGTAGAATCAAACAAGAGCAACAGCAAACAAATAAGCCAACTGCTTTTGTGAGTCCTGTGGGTGTGAAATGTTGTTTTGAAAACTAACTTATATTTCTAAATGGGCTATTGCTACACTTAATCGTCTGACTCTGTATCCATTCATTACTCTAGAGTATACTATAAATGTGGAAAGAATATTTCTCACTGTTCTCTGGTCAAATATTTATACTTGATTAATTTTGATTGAATAATTAAAGAGCCTCTAAACAATTAGATATTTTTGTTTAAATCGAGTCCCGGCCCTAGTAAGAGAACAAAAGCCCTGTTTCCACCCCACCTACTCTACTCTACCAGTAAGTGTTCTAGCTCTTTCTCTCTCTGGTCTCTCTGATACCATGGATAGATAAAGTATTTTAGCCAGAACAGCAGCAGGTGATTTTCCAAAGTGTTGACAAGTAAAAGAGCGGTCTGATGTAGAAGCCTAAGTTGGCAAACACCAGCGCAAACCACTGAGCTATCATCAAGTCTACCGTATATTTGCGGGGGCCTGTGGTACATATGATTGCAAGATAAATGGCAATTAGGGGGCCATAGGCAATGCCTGTTGGCACTATCACTATTATAACATTCACAAGAGCACGTTTTTTTAACAAATCACTGCTGCTGTTAGCTCCCTCTCCTGGTCCGCTCTGGTATAGCACCCAGACTAATCCAACCAAGCAACTAAGCATTATCAGAAAGAAGACAGAACAAAATACAGCTATGATTATGGCCAAAGTTAGTGAAGACTCAACGTAAAAGTTGCGCATAAAGGCCACAAACACTGTAGTGATCCATGTGACGGCGCTTAAAACAACTCTGGGTTTGGTTTTGTTGAAATGTAAGTACGTCATCGGGAACGCAATGGCTACGAAATGCTCCAAGCACATCAGCGTCAGAAACATAGAACATCCAAACATGTTTAAGGTCAAGATGTAGTACCAGACAAATTCAAAAGCTTCGTAAGTCTTAAGCCTAGCGCACATCGGACTGGCAACTGATTATGTCCATCGCATATGAGTTGCTGCCCCGCACACATCGACAATCTGACAAAAACGGGCAACTCCCAGTAGCAGACCAGTCTAGGGAATAACAGCGCGTACATCGACAGCAACTGGCCGTCAACTACAGTGTGTTTTCTGGCATAAACTGTTGTGGGCTCGCAATACACGCAATACACACATGTTGTCGGAGCGATGCATGGAGCGCGCACATCGGGTCATATCTCCGAATCTGAGGACAATTAGTTGCCGAAAAGTAGAGCACGGGCAACTGACTGAAACTGGAGACCAGCTGTTCATCTCCAGTTGTAAGAGCACGCACATCGACCGATTTCGGCAACTGATCATCTCTCAGTTGCCAAAAGCCACCTTGCAACTAGTTTTCTCCAGTTTCTCTGTTGATTTACGCTAGGCTTTATGCAGCCAGAAGTAAAGTTCAAAAGGTAGAAACAGACAGTACACAATGCAGAGAATGGAGATGTTCACGGCCAAGAGCTGAGGCGGGGAGAGGTTGTGTCTGGATTTGAACACCAGCCACAGGAGGGCGCCATTGGCCAGCAGAGCAGGGATCAGGATGAAGACTTTGAGTCCGAGCCTGATGTTACGGATGGTGATGTAGTCCTTGTTGTCGCTGGTACCGTGGTTGTAGCTGGTGCTGTGGTTTTTGCTGGTGCTGTGGTTGTTGTCTGGTTCAGGCTCTTTTAACTTCATCTAAATTAACTTTTGGCATCCCGACGCTGGACGGACTTTGAAACGTATGCATGTTTGAGGAGACACACTTTGATGTTTTGGCCAAGGCAGTAGAGGCTATATGTGCAAGCTGAGCTCTGCAGAGAAGACTACGATGAAGAAGTGCCCTGGGGTGCGGACCCAGTTGGTGGTGCGCGAAAGGTGGATCTGCTGTTGCTGAAATGGAGAGGTGCTGATGGGGAGCTATTTCTGACGGTTTAGATGTAACTGGCCCTGAGACGATGCACTCAGGCAAAGGAGGAGCTGTGGTAGAAGAGAGACAAGGTTTTATAAGCAGCAGGTGCAACGAGGCAAAAGTGTCTGGGGTAAAAATATTAATTACAATTTACTCCATAGATGTACTTATATTCTGAATAGCATTAACTATTATTGCTGTAACTATTAGGACTGTACAGCAGATCCTTTTGGGTTGAACAAATGGACTATTGTTTGTTAGTTAGTTAGAAAGGTTTATCATTTGTATGCACTTATGTATTTGTAAGGACGGATGTGTTTCTATCTATCTATCCATCTATCTATTAACATCATGGATCACAGTAGTACATGTATTTTGGCACTGAAACACTTGAAGGCATGCTGGTGTAATTACAATATATCTTTCATCTTTTTTATCGTAGGCTAGTTAGCAAAAATATTGCGTTTGAATCATAAACAAGGCCAATGTGGCTTTCAGGCTTTAATTCAGAAATTAAAATACTTTCCCCTTCACAAAAGGGTTTATGTGGTCAATTAAACGAAGCATTTTTTTTTTTTTTAAATAAAAGGTGGAATAACATGTTAATAAAATGCTTCCTAATTTCCCAACCTGACAGTCAACTGCCTACTAGCACTTTTCACTGGATACTCTATACAATCAATGTGACTTCACTCAATACTGGTTATCACACACATGTATTTTTATCTTTAGATTATCTTTTCCAGATTGTGGTGGATTCTTCTGTCACCACTCTCCAACAAACCGAAGGACAAGACTGGAGGCCATTTTAAACCCCAGAAGAGTTTTACCGGTCCCGAGAATAATAGAGGAATGAGACACTGCTACACATTATCATTTTATTTCAGTTTAGCCTTTTCCCCTCTGGTGTTAATATGGGTTAATCCTCCTGTATTTTAGCCCTCCTTAGTTCTTGGTGGTGGGGTTCTTTCTTTTGAATTTCCTTGGTTTGGTTTGGGTGTGTGCTTTAGTTGGCCATAAATATTTGTAATTTTTTGTTGTAATTTTTGTCAAAATATATTTTCCTGATTTAAATTAGAGATGATTTTACACCTGTGTTCCATGCCTTATGTTTGTTCAATTACACTGATGGATAAGTGAAAAAGTTTTCATTCATTCTCAGCCCAAAGGGTCAAATAGCGACTCAATAATGCATTCGTTTTATGTAGCACTTTTTTGTACACTCAAAGACGCTTTACGTGTCATTATTCTTTCACTCCATACACAGTGGTGATAAACTACTACTGTAGCCACAGCTGCCCTGGGGCACACTGACAGAAGCGAAGCAACCAGTATGTGCCATCTGCCCCTCCGACCACCACCAACCATTCACACACACATCAGACTCATTCTTGGCAATGGGGGCACTTTACAGCCGCAGCCGCCCCACTGTGGCATAAGGTGTTCCCAGAGGTTAAGTGTCTTGCCAAGGACACAACGACAGCAGACAGTGGGAGTCGATGGTGAGTTGAGGTGGTCTTGAGGTGGGCTGAAACCCACGACCTTCTGGCTCAACGGCCAATGCTCTACCAACTAAGCTACTGTCGCCCTAACTCACACAGGTCTTTCCTGCAAGTATGAAAAATATCACAGGTTTTCTATTAAGATAAAAACAGCATTTTGTGGTTAGATTTGTTTACAAAAAATATACTTACAGGACATTTTGTTTTGGGGATAGACTAAATGCAATATTTATGGGGAAAAAAAGCTAGATTCCCCAGTTTTAAATGAGAAAAAACGGTCCTCGGCATCGAACCCATTCTTCAAACATTGCCTCCGAACAGACTAATGGAGCGAGTGACCAGTGGCCATCTCAGTCGTGGATTTTGATCAAAAGTATTTAAAGAGTTGAAACAAAATCTGTAATGAAACCCTTTCAAATGCGCAGATAAAAAAAAAGAAAGAAACGCTGCCTGTGATCTGGGAATCAAACCTATCCTCTTTTTATTGTTGTGAAGCCGCAACCCAATCTGAAGCCTGATGCCAAAATACACATGGGAAACTCTGTCTTCTTTTTCCAGTCAGTAGAATTTGTGTTTGTGTGAGTGTGAATGCGTTTACCAGAGGAATGACTTGCTCAGGGCTGTACACAACCTGAGAACGGATGCAACCACAGCACTTCCTTAACAGTATTCCTCCTCACTCGGTAATAGGAGGGTACGTCTGCAGGCTGTCTCTGTGTGTGACTGCATAGGGAATTCAATATTGCTTTGAACTTGCAACTTCAGAGTGGAGAATCAAACTGGACCCTTCTCAGGTTCAAGGTGTCTGAAGATGTCTCGGCTTCATGATGGAGAGTGACAGGCGAGAAGAAGTGACCCTCGGAACGTTTAGGAAAGCCGCGGAGAATTTTTTTTGTCGATGCTGTTGATGCTTTTGTGTTTGATGTGTTTTATATTTAGCTAATACACAGAGAGATTTTGTACTAACAACGCCACCGGGACTAGAATGAGCCATATAGCGCCAATAGACAGGATTCACGAAGAAGACAAATTACCCATTATGTTTGGCCATTCAAAATTAAAATCAGACTTAGTCTTTTCATGTTTTAAAATGTGAAAGTAGCAAATGTATGGCAACAGATGTATCAAGGATAAAAAATCTATCCCAAATTAGAGGCTGAGATTTAAATCAACTGATAAATTGAAAAATCTGATTTATGGCAATACATGTTGGTGCCCTATGAACAAACTTGGACTCTGAGGAGCACAGGGACTGGCCTCCTACTCAGTGGGGGCGGGTCCCGGCTCAAAAGTGGCCAAAATGAGGTGCGCTGACATGCTTGCAATACCACCCCGGCACGATGGGGGTGGACCCGGAAAAAGAATTAGCCAATGCTAACATATAGCATCTTCTTACCTCTCGAAAACGTCTTTACAGGAGGGTCCAAAAGTTGGCTCTTGGCCCAAAGCTCCGTTCCACATGTGTGTCAATGCTGAGGGGAGTGATTTTTTTTGGACCAGTCTAGTTTACTCGCTGCAAATTTTTGAAGTCACTAATTTAAATGAATGGGGCTTGTGCCGGTTGACGCATGCGTTTTTTAACATTTTCCAGCCCACGCGGCCATTTTGAATCATTCCATGAAAGTCCAATTTTTGGCCCATTAGTTAGAAAGGCGGAGATAGGCGTAACTATGTTAATATATACAGTCTATGCTCCTACTATGTCCAAAGTCAGAACTAAACATCCTCTGTGATGGCTGCTGTTGTGATTTAGGGCGTTACAAGAATACATTGTACACATGGAGGTTGCGTTTCAGATTTATGCAGCTAAAATTTTGAACAATCTTCCTGAAAATGTAAGACAGGATTCTTCTACGCCAATGATCAAATCCAGGATGCAAACAGTTCTGTTTAGCCGTACGTACAATGTCTTGTATGAATTTGCCTTACCATGTGTGGATCTAAAAACAACTCCAGGTCTGTATTTGATGATGGAACCATGGTGTGGGGCCATTCTTTGTTGAGTTTGCATCTTCCCCTTCGTGTATGCATAGCGTTCTTCCAGTCTACCCAACAGGTTATTATCCTCCAGCTTCGGTAGTTCTGACTAAGTTGAGCATCAGTATCTGGAGATGAATCCCTTGGCGCTGCATTGAAGGATGGGACAAACTTCCCTACAGGGATCAAAACAATCATGCTTTTCGTTGTTCAATTACCATAATCAGATTACTTCACTGTATTCTAAATGCATTTCTGTACCAGTTCTTATCAGTCAGTCAAATTCAAAAGGAAAAAGTCATTCAGTAGATAATGTCCACGGCCAGCCATGCGGCGCCCTTGCATACTACTTAATATTGGTATTTAAGACATTTCTGGGAGGGCAATTCTGCTATGTCTTTGGCCATTTCCATTCAAATACCTGGTGGAAAGGGTGTTAAGATCGCTCACACAAGGACCAAGAACTACGAATTCGAATGCACTACAATTCTGTACTTGCATTATTATATGTTGAGTTGGGCTAGAGAACCACATCATCACATATGTACAGTCATCGTTGATTCTAAATGACATTCACATTCATATTTAAAATGAAAATTCCACATTCTACTTTGCATTCCTTCTCTTTGGAGTCAATAAATCAATGGTTTATTCATATTGTTGCGTTCATCTCTCATGTATGTGTTCCTAAAGGTCATTCTTTCCCCACGAGTCCCGCGATTTATATTTCATATTTGTAGAATGTGCTTTCTAAAACCTCAGGGCCACCAAAAGTATTCGTAATGAACGTACAGTAGGATGTCGGTAGGTTATTCCCTCACAATGACCCATTAGTTGAGGTCAGGGGCTCTAAAAGGATGCATGATTCATGGTCCTATTCTAAGTCGCAGGACCAGTCATTTCCATAACATTTCTCTGGTTGCGTTTGAGTGCTTTCTGTTGTGTGTTGTGTCAGAGGGGCCTTGGGTGGAAGCTACAGTCTCTGGTGAAAGCCTCATTTTATTTTTATTTTTTCAAATTTTTCGGCTTCTCCATCAAATCCGTTGCTTTAATTCAGGACCTTGGCCCGTGGATCGGCCTCTCCTCCTTCCTATTCTCCGTCTGGCCCCTGTTCCCCACCTCATGCTGTTAAACCTCTATCAAACAGCACTCCAATGTTTAACCTCGCTCACCTTTCAATCCTCCCATCCCCAACATTGCAGCGTCCTTGTATCTGGCTCCTTCCGACTAATAATCTTTCTTTCCTTTCCCATCTTGTTGTAGTACCTTTTGCTGAGCCCTCAATCCCATTTCTCCTCCCTAATCCA